GCGTCTTTTGTGCGTTACCAAGTTCGTGGTCGTCGTCGTTGGAGGGATCATCGAAACACGTTTCGGTCTTGTTACCACCGCCGATTTCGGATCATTTCAATTTCAGTTCACGCAAAACACGTGAGTACCGGTTTTTATTTTACCGTGACCGTTCGAAAATACGTTATCGTCGATAAGCACGTTTTTTTTTTCTTTAATTTTTCCGATATCGATTAATCGGAGTTACACACACACACGCACATACTACGTACCGATGACGTACATCATTGTTGTTGCTCGTTTTATTTATGTTATTAATAATAATTATTATTGTTATAAGTTTATATCGTGTGCGCGGTTTTTTTTATAAAATAGTGGACGATGCGCGGCCGGTTCGTTACAACCCGATCGACCTACACCGGATTTCGAAACTGTAGTGAAATGTGTTCTTTTTTTGTTTTTGTTCGTTCCAATCGATACTACCAGCCGTTCAAAATTTGTTATTCAAATTTCAAATCTAGTTTCCGAGTGTTATACACACTCACGCACACTACAACACACACGTGCGTTCAACGTTTTAATTGTTTGCGTCGCAACGGATTGTCTTAAATAGTACCCAATACTTGACGCCAAATTATTTTAATATTTTCCCATTGTTTCTGTTCGAAACACGACGGTACGAAACCGGTTTCACGATCGGTACAATATATAAGGGTTCACCCTTCTTTAATAATATAATATACGATATAATATTATAATAGATAGTAACCATCGTCTTGTGAGTACGTACCGGCATGACATTACACTAATAGTGATCTTTATTACAATAATATGATCGGAGTGCCCGCCGCCCTCCGCGACCGACGAGTAGCAATTTTTTTCAAAAAAATTTCAACCCTGATCGCAATTAAAAATATAGATACATATTATACATTATACGATATTCATTCATATCTATCGAACAGAGTGCTGACTGTCGAGGTGTTGAATTATTATTAGGCACATGTGAACAGTTTTAATTCACACAACACATAATATACCTATTATTATTATCATTATGCATACCGATTACCGTTTTGTGATGGGAAAACGTACCGTACCCCCCCCCCCCTCATTCTCCATCATTGCTGTCGTGTTCTACGATACTACACGTACGTACCTAATATTATATACGTACGTGTACTCCAAATTCTCTAGTTCTATAGAATATATTCAATGCGTGCGCGTGTGTGCCAGTATGTGCAGTTTGGTCGCGTTTCTGTGCGAACGCAATAAGCCATATTATTATAATATAATAACAATATAATCATTGCGATATTACCTATTATTATTTTATGATCGATGCGCTATATATATACTTAATACAGTTTTTTTATCGATTTCGAGCGGACGTGTTTGTCGAATTTATATTGTGTGTGTGTGTTTGTGTTTGATTGCGTACACTGTATTATATGCTAATCAAACGTTCAAACGTAGGTACCTGTGTGCCGTGACATTGACAGATTATGACGTGTATACTCACATCGTGTTTTAGGTATAGTCGGCATCACTCGGCAAACACAATATATATAGGGGGTGTAGACATTAAATATTTTAAAAATAGAACCACGCGAATTGAAAAAAAACTGGCATCGATAAAACGAAATTGCATCGCGATATAATTTATAGGTGGTGTACAACAGTGGTACACTCACGAACCATTAATTATATTATTTATTTTGCCACCTCACACTCCGTTCTCTGCAGTTGTGTCTTAGTGTTTGGAGTGGAGCAAACGTATCGTTTTGCCCCCCGAATGATGCCGAGAGGCAATTGCGCCCCCTTGACCCGCCTCCCCCTCCCCATCAAAGAAATAAAGCCGCCCATGGTTCTAGGTCATGTGTTGTTATTATCATATTATAATATGTCGGGCTGCGCTCGAGTTGTTCTCGACCAAATATCATTATTTACCGCAATCGAGCGAATTACGCGTACCTACCTACCCACACTGTATTATACATAATTCGATGAAACTGCGTTCACGATATAATAAATAATAATAACATATTATAATGTCGTGTGGCTGCTGCTGTACAGGTCCTGTTCGAAAATATTATGCCTTTGAAAAATAACACTTATTGTACGAATGACTTGCACTCCGGAACACGCATGACATTGATCATTATTATTCATAATACTCTGAAAAATAATATGTTTCTGCGAGTGTTCTCGTTGCAGGCGATTCGTGCGGTGCACTTATTGTTTATTATTTAATAATATTATACACTTTTGTTTGCGTTGCTCAAACGCGTAATACACGCGGAATTCACTGCTCGTTCGTCGCAATCGAGAGCGAGCGAAGGAAAAGAAAAAAATATATAATATTCAATCGACTATAATAATAATCACAATACACGAAGCAGTGAAGTTAGTTTACTGTGCGTCTCCCATATACATTATTATTATTATTTATCATTAGGTACCCACATAAGTTTTTGTTTCTCGGATGTTATATTTTTATTTTTCATCATATTCACCGAATACAATTATCCTTTTCGAGTGTATGGTGTGCAATAAACGCATCGGTTTTGGGTCACTTTTGGTCCATCTACTTATTATTTAATACGCACGTCAAACCTATCTGTATATGATATACATACGTAATAATAATAATACAAGAGCAGCAGTAGAAAATATAATATAATATCTTTAAATTAATATAAAGGCGCTGCAGCAAAGTCGTACGAATTTCGAAATGGATGTATTGGCTTCGTGTAACTACGAGCAACGCTTGTAACAACATACAATCTTAGAAATGTGTGTCCACGTCATACCTATACCTATAAATGTAATACATTATACAACTTTTGAATGCGAGTAGATGGAAATCGATCAAATTATTATGAACAATTTACTCGATGTAGTATAGGTAGATACAACAATGAATGCGGCTATTGTTACCTAGAATTACGAATACTAACAATAGTCAGCTGTTTGGGGAAAAATTGACGTTCATATTTTCTAAATCCTAACAGTGTAGGAATCGTTTTGCTGTTCGGGGAGTTCGGGTGTATGTGTTGAACAAAAAAAAAATTAAATACTCAGTAACCGAGTGTTAGTTTTTTTTTTTTTTTTTTTTTGTCGAGGAATCTCTACACTACCTATGTGCTTGAATAATATAATATAATATTATACGCATTTTATACCTACGCGCTTCGTTAGAACATGTCTATAAAATATATAGTCGCTCCGACACGAACAACCGATATGTGCGTTGTTTAAAATAATAAGAGAACGGGATGCCAACGGTGGCGCCGTTTTAGGTTTTTAAACAATTAAGTAACGAATATTTTATGCAGACCGGTGTTGTTCACCACTGGGCCTTGTTATGTGATGAAAACCGAGCGCTTCATATAATATGCATGCACACACGTAGTTAAAACGTTATTTAATGGTGATAAGACGATATAATATTAATAATTATTTCGGTCGGATCCAATACGAGAAACAATTATGGTCCTCGAAAAACACCTATAACCTCCCTCCTCGCGCCACCTCCACACTATGACATATCGAATATCAATTATAGGTTTGTTACACAATTATTAATATAATCTCTTGATAGTACAAACATATTAGTTGTAAATGATTGGCAAGCGATTTTAAGGCTAAAGAACAATGAACCGATATTATCAATACATAAAAAGCAATGTTATCGATAGCGAATATATTATATAGGTATCATGACTAACTAGATTTAGTCATGATAGGTACCTAATCACATCTATTTTTCTTTTGTTGTGTTTTTTCGCTAAAATACTGAATCGCGACACACTACAGCGGTTTTCACGCGCGTTTTTCCATCGCGCGGTTTCAACGCGTGATTTGGACGTGCTACACTAGCGCGGTTTGCGCGCGCTCACTACGCGTTCAGACTTGCCTGGTTAATGATTGCGCAGCTGTCTTGCACCACTGTCTTGTAGTTATTTCGAATTTGAATATTATTTGTATATTTTTTATTGATTTTTTTAGTGAATAGGTATATTGATATAATTATTATATATAAATAATTTATATTAATCCGTGGAACTAAATAGCAAGTATAAGCAAGTACCTAGTTGAAAGTAAGTAGTAACGACTAACAAATATATATATTTATTTATTTATCCATATTAAAAAATATGAACTTCTATTTGCATATATTAAATTAAATTAAAATTATTTTTAATTTGTTTATTCAGTATGGATTACGATTATTATATGAATGCATTGAAAGTGATCGCAGTGGCAGAATCATTTGGGTATCTGAACCCACCAAGATCAGAAAGATCATTTTGGATTCATCCGTTTAATGCAGCACGGGAAACTAATAATCGTTTTTTTTCTTTTTATGGAGAAATTCGAAAGTATCCGAGCAAATTTTCTGAATATTATCGAATGTCAATTTCTTCATTTGACGAACTATTAGAAAAACTACGTCCCCACATAACCAAAAAAATCACCAAGTTCCGACGTCCGGTGTGTCCAGAAGAAAGATTGACTATTACAATCAGGTAATTAAATAATAATTAACTACCTAGTAAATATTATATTTGTATAGAATAAGTATAGTTAAATAAATTAAACCTCTTTAATACATAGGACAGTATTCAATATTTCAGTAGGTATATGATTATCAATAAAACATAAAATAAAACGTAATTAACTTCAAAAACTTTTTATATAAAGTAAAAAAAAAACAATAAAAATAACTTCTGTAACTTTAAATACCTTCTTGAAGCAATACAATATACAACATATTGTTTTGTTCGTAAACAAAAAAAACATAATAATAATAAATTATAAAATATAATATAAAACGTAAATATTAAACGTAATATGTATTAACTTAACTTCAAAAACTTAAAAAAAAAAAAAAAAATAACTTCTGTAACTTTCAATACTTGTAGGTATAATACAATATAAAACAAAATATAATATTATTGTTCCATTCAAAATAAAAAAAAATAAAATAATAATAGGTGTATTGTTCTATAATATTATTAAACACTATGGTTCATCCTAGGTACATCTTCCTGGCTGTAGTCTGGAGGTGAGGTTGGTGAACTATAGTTTTGTGGAACCGAGTACCTTGAAGAAGGGTGCACAGGTAGATACTGTTGTGAATAGCTGGGATAGGTGAGAGAAGTTTGCTGACCAAAATTGTTTGGATAATTATTGAATTGGTGAATGTTTGCGTTAAAATTCTGCGAGTGGTCAATAGGAGGGTTTAAAATATTTTTTACTGATTGCATGAATGCTATTTTAAAATCGAGTTTTTGGTTGTCATTCATTTTTTTGAATTCTGGAAGGAATGATAACAAGAAAGCTTTATCAGGATCCATGTCTTCCGAGCGTGATTGTGTGGGTGGGTGTTGCATAAGGTGCAGTAAATTTTGCTGGAATGGGGTAATCTTTTGTTTTTTATTCTGAGGCCCTGGTGTATTCATGCTGTTGTTTGATGGTGGAGGTGAAACATAGTCTTCTTCGGAAATGTCACCAGCGTCAACCTTAATTTCTACTTCTGGATCATGGATGATGGATGATGATGACATATTACCTGTTGTCCTGCAATTTTAATAATATTGTGAATGTTAAGAAAAGAATTTTGTTCCCAAAATGTATTTTACTTACTTTCTTTTTTTTAAAACTGGGTGTAAAAATGATAGTACATCAGCATAAGCATATTTTTTGGTAGGATTTGCTCCACTACCACTTGGTGTACTATTTTTTTGTTTAATGTCTCGAGCAAAATTGTCTCTGATATTTTTCCATTTTTTTTTAATTTCATCGACTAAAAAGGTGAAAATTTGGTGAAAATTAAAAAAATTAGGTGAAAATTTGGTGAAAATTTGAAGTATCTATTTATAGTTAATTTTTGAAGTACAACAAAATATCAAAAATCGTTAGAGGAGAAACTATTAATTAGGGGTTGAATATCCACCGTAAGAAATTAAATTTAAAATGATTATACAAAATGAATGTGACTTTCTGGTTAACTTTTCTTTGGTAGGCAGACGAAAATATTTAAATTTTCTCAATTTTAATGCATTTTGTTAAAGTTATAACTTTAGACGCGTATTAAAAAAATATATAATCCAAACATCATGAAAAACACCCCTAATGAAATATTTTTTAGAAAATATTATTAGGTACCTACTCTAAAAACTCTAGACATAATATTTGATTTTGAGAAAAAAAACATAAAATTATATGATATTACCTATATAATATAATATAATTTATATATATTGTATAATATGGAAAGTCATAAATTATTTCAGATATCTGTCAGTTGGAACAAATTTTGTGGCGTTACAATATGAATTTTTGTTGGGACGAAGCACAATAGGAAATATTGTTCGAGAAACCTGTCAGGTCTTATGGAACACTCTACAGCCTGAAGAAATGCCAGAACCTAATCCAGACCAATGGACAGAAATAGCCAATAAATTTTATTTAAAAACCAACTTTCCAAATTGTGTAGGGGCAGTCGATGGCAAACATATTCGTTGTATTAAACCCATTAATTCCGGATCAATGTTCTACAATTATAAAAAGTATTTTTCCATTGTATTAATGGCTGTAGTGGACGCAGAGTATAGTTTTATTTCAATCGATGTCGGTGCATATGGTAAGGAGGGTGATTCTACAATTTTCAAAAATTGTCCATTCGGAAAAAAACTATATTCTGAATTATTGAATCTACCAGCACCTGTTGTTCTTCCAAATACAGACAATTTCCCTCAGCCTTTCGTGGTAATTGGTGATGAAGCTTTCGGACTACACAAAAATCTTTTAAGACCATACCCTGGACGAGGTCTTACACAAAAAAGAAAAATTTTTAACTATCGTCTATCAAGAGCTCGAAGGTACGTAGAATGCGCTTTTGGAATACTCGCAAATAAATGGCGTGTTCTACATAGTGCTATTCTAGTTGAACCCGATTTTGCAGACGACGTTATAAAAGCATGCTGTATTTTACATAATTATGTTAGACGAAGGGATGGTTATAATTTCGAAGACACCCTCTCAAACTCTTTGGAAGACATTCAAAATGAAAATAATTCTGGAGCTCGTCAACAAGGATTAGATGTTCGAGAATATTTTGCTGATTATTTTATGGATGCAGGAGCAGTTCCGTTTCAATATCAATTTGTTTGATTTTTTTTTTACTTCTAAGTTTTTTTTTAATATAATATCAAAATTATAATTTTATATAATATAATTATATATTTAATATAATATAAAATAAAATATAAATTCAGGCGATCATATTTTACAAAAATAAGTAATTTTTAAACTATTGTTAATACACGTTAGACGCCGGTATCAACACGTTGTCGACATGCAGCAACCTGCTCGTACTTCACTATTTATAAATTTACATTTACATTTCATAGATCGTACGCACATTTAATATTTGTGTCAGCCATTCAAAAATTACGTACCTATACTTATGTTTTGTTTTATTTAATTATTTTAAAAATAAGTATTATTATTATTTTCTTTACATAATATATAATTTTATTATAAATTGCATAGAAACATAAAAATTAATTATGCTTACCGTAAGATTCTTGCTCCTTGTCAGAAAATGTGTCCCAATTTTTTAATACAGCACTGGCCACATTTCTCCAGGCCTTTGTTTTCGAGTGTTTGTCCATATATTCGCTACTATTAATATTCCACAGGCATTCTTCTTTCTCCACTTCGTGGATTAAAATATCAATATCAATCATATTGATATATTTTTTGTAAATTAACTCGACAAAAAATCAATTAGTCAATTTAAAAACTAAGAAACTGGTAAGAACAGGTGAAAAAACTGGTTTTAAAACGCGTCGTAACCGCTGTGGTATGTCGCATGCCATATAAAACAATGTGTTACGGTTCCAAGCGTCAACGCGTTCAAAACGCAAAACCGCGACAGGTAGCGGTGTCACGCGGCAACGCGCGTCAAAACCGCGCTAGTCTGTCGCACTTCATTTACATGTATGCGTTTCCATCCCGCGTTTTCGACGCGCGGTGCTCGCGCGTTTTCACCGCGCGTCAAAACCGCTGTAGTGTGTCGCGACCCTAAATCGTTTGAAGTACATTTGTATTCAAAAAGATTACCCGAGGTAACTATTTGTTTTTATAAATAAACTTTTAAAAAAAAGGTTGACAGATGCCTTCGAAAAAATTGTTTTTTAAATTTTGATTATTATATAGTGTTTTTAGTGAGTTAAAATATTGTTGTAACGCTATGTCCTAGCTGGTGCGTGCACGCACCGCAAATCGCAATGCGTGTAACGCATGCGATTTCTAATAAAAACAAACGTCCAGAAATAGATCGGACTGTCCTGATTGCTGACGCATGCGTTTAATTCACGATAACGCACCGCACCCGCACGTTTGAAATACAAAATAGTTTGTTTTTCGTCGCATGCGATATGCGTCATCGCAATAGAAAGTGGATGATCAACATTGTTTAAATTTATTTGTTATTTGTTAATTACATTTCTGTACAAAATGACGTATACAGATTTTGAAAAAACAGAATTGTTGATTTTTGAAGTCCAAAAGCATAATGTGTTATGGAACAAAAAGCATAAAAAATACAAAGATAGGCTTGTAGGAGCCAAAGCATGGGCAGAGGTTTCAAAAGCTACAGGAATAACTGGTAAGTATAGCTTTATTAAACTTTCCTCAAACTTAATTTATTGTAGTTTTTTAAAATACAATTTAGTTAATGGAAAAAAAATAATAATTAGTTAAATAAATACCTATGTACTAAAATTATTGGTTATATAAGTTACATGTAGATGTTTTTTTTTATAGCTAATAGGTAATATAAATATATAATAAACTAAGATCATATGTATGCATTAAACATAATATAAAAAAACAAGTAACATAATATAACATGAAATAAAAGTAGAATATGATATTATATTTTGTTGTCCTTAAAATATTGTACAAATGTATTTCTTATTTCTAGAACGGTTTGAGATGTTCTATTAGTATATCTGCCACCTTGAATACTATCCAAACAATATTTACTTAATATCCCATTTTCATTTTCTATATTTTTTATATCTGATTGATTTTTTTCAAGATTAATAATCACATTATGCAAAATACAAATAGCTTTGACGATATGGTCAGCATTTTCGATTTTTGTTTCAATCGATTTTTGAAGTATACGAAATTTTGATGCCGCTATGCCAAATGCGCATTCAACTGTCATTCTAGCTCTAGATAACCTATAATTATAATACGATTTGTTCTCGTCACTTAATTGTTTTTTCGGAAAGGGTCTTAACAAATGTTCTCTCAAAGGAAAAGCTTCATCACCTATAAATACAAAAGGTGCCATATTTGTTGTATTTGGAAGTAATTTTGCGTTAGGCACTTTTAATGTTCCTTTGTCAATACGATGGTATATTTTTGAATTATGTAAAACACCACTATCACTGTCCTTACCATATGCTCCGATATCGATCAACACAAATCGGTAGTTTGCGTCAACAATAGCCAATAGAACGATTGAAAAAAAATTTTTATAATTATAATACATACTGCCAGAGTTATTTGGACATTTAACTCGTATATGCTTTCCATCAATGCTACCTATGCAGTTTGGAAAGTTCCACTTATTGTAAAATGCGTCTGCAGTATTTTCAAAATCTTTAATTGTTGGTTTTCGCATATGTACGTCACGCAGTGTAGTCCAAATTGCCTGACAAACTTCAATAACAATAGAACTAACACTAGTTTTTGATACTCTGAAACTCATCGCAATTTGTCGGAACGCAATTCCTGTGGCGAGATATCTATAAAATAAATAATGGAATATCGTTGGACTTGAATTTATAGAAAGGGCTATGAATTTGTAGGAAAGTGCATTTTTTTTGATGATTGTGAAACGTAGCTTTATACGTACATAGTTTGAATTATATAACAACAAATCAATTAATAAAACTTTTATAAATATAAAAATTAAAATAAAAACCATTTTAAGTGCATTTTATACTATAATTTTTGGCATTTTAAAAGCATATTTATTGCATTTTTTTAAGGGATTTTAGTGCATTAAATTCACAGACCTATTTATAATTATATATAATCTAAATTTTTTTTTATAAGCGTTTATAGTTCAAATTTTTATGATATATGTCAAAATCGCGAAAATTTGCAAGTAATTTTGTAGTTGAAAAATCATAAAATGTTTTGTGTTTATATCTAAGGTTAGTTTTCCATAAGTTTTCCTTCAAGTAGAAAACTCGAAACATCATTATAAGAAAAATTTTAAGTACGTTGAATTTTAAATTTTTAAGAAATTGCGTAACGATAACGATTTATCCCCAAAAGATTTTAAATATTTGTTATTATTCAAAAAGTATAAATATTAGATACTTGAAAATTTTACTAGTTATTTAGATTAGCATTTTCTTTACATGATTTAATTTTCAAAATATTTCCCTTATTTTAATGTTATATTTTATAGGCGTTTGAAATATTCGTTTTTGTTAAGTTTTTTTTTATAAATATCGATAATAGCACACACAAAAAAAAAAATTAAAAAAAACACCTTGTTTTAAAATCAATACATTTATCACTCCGTTCAAAATCTTAAATACTGTTCGTTTATTTTTAGCCAATGAAGCGAAAAAAAGGTGGCGAAATTTAAGGGATCAGTTTAAAAAAGAACTAAAAAAAGTAAAAAAACCGAGATCAGGATCGTCTCAAGATGGCCAAGAAAAATACCACGGGAAATGGTCTTATTTTATGCCTATGCAATTTTTGAAAGACATAGAGACACCTAGAAATACGTCGGGTACATTTTCTAATGATGACGACGACGATGATATTGAGGTAGGGCGTTCATACGAACATAAATCAGATTCTAATGGAGACACAGAAGATGAGGAAGATATTGATAAGGATACGACACATAGTATTGAAGGTATGGATTCATTAGTACCTCAGAATGACGCACAAACACAAATGACGAGAAATAATTCTCCTATTGCCGAGTTAAACAGCTCAAAGAGTGCAAAAACAAGTGGACAAAAAAAAATGAAAAAAAAGGAGGATGAAATAAGTTTCGAACAACAATTACTGCAACTCGAAAAAACAAAAATTGAAGCTTTTATTGACTCATCACGGAATGCAGTAAAAGACGACGAGGACATGTATTTTTTAAAATCAATTCACCCTTATTTCGGTAACATGACTCCATTACAAAAATTAAGAGTAAGAACACAAATTCAAGAGGTTATCATGAGAGAACTGTCTGTACCATCATCTCAACCTATGAATAACAATTTAACTTATTCTTATCAATATCCAATACCTGTACAACCCATGCAATCATCACAACCTATTCCATTCCCACCCATTCATCATCCTATGCAATCTTTAGCGACTGAACAGTCTTTATCACTACAAACTGATCCACCAAATTATAACACATAATATCATTTTTCAATAATATGTTGATTATTAATACTTTTTAATTTTTTATTTGCTAATGAGTTTTCAAAAACAGTTAATAATAATTTTCATTTATTTTTGTAGGTGAGATACCTACATTAGTTGAGGTATCTATTTAAAAGTTACATATTTTTTATTTTCTATTATCAAACTATATTGTTTTTTATTTTTAGTTGTGTTATTTTGACTTTAATAAAAGTATCTTATTTATATTATTTTAATGTTTTCGATTAAATAAAAATGTTTAAAAGATCTAATATGTATTATTGTGTTGTATATTATATGTGTTTACAATTAGAAAATAATTTTAAATTTAAATAATAATATCTACTTGCCTATTATAGTTCTCTTTTATATAGTATCACTTTTTATTAACATAATAATGAGACTATGAGAGTGTTTATAATTTGTTGTTCATATACCTTATACTATTACATTTATACCTTATAGTTATCAACAGTCGTTCTTCAACAGATATTGGATCTTGAAAATTTGAGTATTCTTTTTGAACAATTGGTGTTATATGTTCAGCAATGTAGTCAAATGTGTCTGTATTCATTCTCGTGTATGCACGAAACATTACTTTATCTGCTCGTAATTGTGGATACAGTTGATGAAATTCTCCAAATATAAATCTATCTTTATAAATGACATTTGGAGGAGATCTCTTAGATTTTTTACTCATTTTAAGTAATTTATACTTCAGATAAGTATTTTCTATTAAGATTAAACCTCGTTGTTCTTCAATTAACGACATAATATAGTAAATTAAAATGTATTATTCACAAACAAATTTAAATACTATTTAACTATTTAACGTATGATATTAATACTTGTCAGCACGAATGCATGAAAGGTACTGATGGGTTACTTATAAAAATAAGTTAAAGTTTAAAATCAACAAATCGTATGCGTTTTCCCGCATATTTGAATGCGTCAATTTTGCCATTGTTGCGGGTACTAGAATTCGGTGCGGTGCGGTCAAATATCGCACCATCTCCTCGCATTGCGTGCACGCACCAGCTAGGACATACGCTGAAACTGTTCATTAATTTCCCAATCTATTTATTATCATTATAATATGTGAACTTATTTTTGATATGTATCTTACCAAGTACCAATATTTTATATTTTACTGACCGCTGATTACAGTTTTAAAACCCATTAAATAATATGGTAGATTACACAATTTCTGACGTATTAAATCTAATATTATAATAAATACTACGTGTTTATCATTAAAACTAATAACTATTAACTATTATTATCTGTTATATATATATAGTATATACGTAGTATGTGCACATAAATACATAATACCATTGTATATATTATAATAGCATACAATATATTATACTCAATGATAATACCCATTGGCCATTACTTACTAGTTAAGCAAATTATAAAATAGATTTTATTTATTACGATATTTTTGACATATCGCTTCACAATTCTCTCATAATTGTAATTTAATAGCTATATAAAACAAGATGATTATTTCCACATTATTTATTATACATTATGAACTTTAAATAGGTAAAAATGTTTTCTGAATATTTGTTATACCTATATTATTTTATTACATTTGTGTGCTTAATCATTTTTTTCATTAGGTTTTTAATTACCACCTAGAGATTGACGTTCTGTTATAACTTATAAACTTATAAATAAATTTAATTATTTCACGGAAAATAATTTTCAATTTTTAATTACTTTTATACTTGGATAGTTTTTGTCATATCTGCCACTGTATACATATTATAGTGGACGGGGCCGTGGTGCAATAAGTTTTTGAATAAAACGCGAAGGTGTGCACATAATTTGTCACCTCAAAACCGTTCGTGCGAATCGTTTTTTTCTCGATTCCCAAGTCTGCTGTGCAACAGTAGTGGTTTGTAAGTCGTCGAATTTACTTAATAAAAATAATAGGTACAGCCAAATAAGAATACCTCGGCGAGTTGAAAAATCGATTTCATCCGTATCCATTTGGCTCGGTCGCAGTTTTTTTCCTCTCTGCAAATACGTGTCCGATCGAATATTTTTCATTGTTTATATTATGACAATTATATACATTTGTCTTCCGTAACAATTTTCGAGATGCTCTCAGATATAGAGGGTAATTTGCGACTTGCGAGTGTGAACAATGTGACGGCTATTGTTGTTTTTTTAATTTCCCTCTTTGTATTCTGCGCATATGACCCGTACCATGTAACACGTGACTTCCCCCTCATACTCCTAGAAATGTGATCGTTCGCACATAATATTTTACTTATATGTCGACAATATATAATATTATTGACAACGGCGTTCGATGGGTTACAGATAAATTAAAAATAATTTTTTGCACTGTATCAAATTATTGTTATCAGCTATAGGTATCGTCTTGTATACAAAATGGGCAGTACAATTACTGTTGAGTTAACAACGAGAAGGATGAAAAATTCGTGGATAAAATAATTGGGCATTCATTTTAATAAGTTATTAATCTGCTAAATCTTCATTTTAAATGAGAATTTATTGATATCTAAGCATTTATTATCAATTATGCAAACTTTAAACCTTATGATGCAATTTGCGTAATCTTCCGAATGCATATATTATGGTCGAAACAAATTAACATCAATTATATAATAATTAGCTGCATATAAATTATAATATATTATAATTTAAAATTCAAGGTTTTTTTTTGCATTTAGGTCATTAACCTAACAAAATGTGGTACATTTACCTACTTACTCTTATATTTAATCATAATATTATGAACGGTGCTCGATAAACACTGTTTATGGATTATCAATATAATGTACTTTTCTTAAATCTGTATGATTAATAATAATTTATATTCGTTTTGACACTGATTTAGCTATTAAAATTAAAATATAATATTTATGACTATTTTGTATATTTAAAGTCGGAAGTGTCATTAGTTATTCGAATTATATTAATAAAATAATGTTTTGGCTCAAATTGAAAACTAATGTTGTTCAAGAAGAATACTTACTTGCTTGATTATTTGTACGACGTATATAGAGGAATTAATGGAAACAAACTATTTTATCACACATCTATATTACGTATGGTTGGGTATTGTACAATTTTAATGATAAAATAATATAGGAGATACTTATTTACAAACAATATACTGCAGGTATTGGACAAATAACGTGGCTGCAGAGCTTATATTTAATTATTCGGTTTGGAAATAAACGTATTATTTATAATATTTTATTTGATACACTATAAGGCAGTCGTAGGTATACTGCCTATAATTCGACGTCCTTAATTGGGACCTGCCTTTTGTGTTGGGTTAAATATATTGCATCTATATATTCTATATACACTCAACTGATCTAAACTAATGAACAACTTTAGTATCCCACACGGAAACAATTCATTGACGGTGTCAATTGCGATCAATTTGTTTCTCATCGTTATATCGTACCGCGCAAATAAACCATTTGCGTAATATTAGATAAGTACTCTATATATGTATATACACACTTTGAAAACGCCGACGTGTGCCTGTGCGAGTACACGTCTTGTGGATCTTGTTATTATTATTTATTTTTTTTTTGCGAAAGGGATTGTTTTAAGGGTTCTCGTTGTGTTTTATGCGCACATAATTGCTGGTTCGCGAAATTATAAACAAAAACTACGCATCATTTCGGTTGACCGAACTCGGTTATTATACAATTGCAGACCGTGTGTTTTTGGATTGTGCGTATACACTTCAGCAACGTATCTATTAGACGCGTAGGTACAATATAGTATTATATTTTTATATATTATTAACATTATGAGACTCCTGTGAGAAGGGTCAACTGCAGTTAAATCCGCCTGCAGAGGGGTGCGAACTGCAGCAATATCAGAATTTGTGCCTATATAGAAACGTCGGATGAATAAAAAATAATTATAATTGAATCCTTCGCGGAAACTCGAAAAATAATTTAGTTAAAAATTAATTCAATGATTCACCCGGGATTCTGCGTGATCGTTATCTCAACGACACGCATGCGTGACTCCACACTAACACGAATATATGACGTGACGATGCCTACATAATTCCGATTACGATTTCTTCTGCTCACAATTTAACTTTTAACACACGTAGATCCCGCAAAGTTTCTAATGCAATAACAGCAGTGTATCAGAGTGGTCATCTCAATTTTCAATCGGCATCGAAACTGTCGGTATAGTGCGAAAGTGAATATAATATATAGCTATTATAGTTATTATATTCCAACTAGCTGTTGGTTGTCAATGGAATTAAATTAATTTTCCTCGACTTTTTGTCGAAAGATAGTATAAATCTAGGGCAGTGGTGCCGAGTTGAATTGGGTCGGGAGGGGGCAACAATTATTTATCGTTACTCACCACATTTTGCACCACATCTACATTCCTTTGATATTTATCATGACCATACATACTTATTTTATAGGATCAGGGGGGTACCCGCGGACCCCCACCCGCTGAAAAAATGGCGTGAGGTCGCCCCTCTTGTGTTATAGGTCCGCCGCCACCGATCGAGGGAAAGAATTATTGTGAACATAATACATTTTTTGTACCTACTTGATATTTTTACGTTTATTGATTTGTATTATTTGTTCAACTATTATAAATTATTGTTACTGTGATTTGTGCGAGCGCATAATGATAAATAATTTAAATGCGGCAATAGTTGACAACGAATTGAAAATCGAAAACGTTGCAGTTGATTCTCTTGTTGAATTGTGTTAATTTAGGGGGAAATATAACATGTCGCTTATGTAAGCGGGCAATTTGTGGAATTGGGTTTCTACACAAAAAGTTAAATCGTGTGGAATCGGTTGCACCTATCCGACTACATATACATTACCTATACCGTAGTATAGGTATTTTTTTTATTCGTGATTTGATTATTTAACTACATTATATCGTTTTTCTCTTTATCTGTCAAAAAATATACGTTTCATGTTCTCACGTGCTCGCATTATTATAGCAATAAATAATGTTATATATTATATAGTTTCTAACACGAAACGTTTAGAACCGTTACTCTTGGAAACAATGCCAGCAGGCTCCCCGTTGCTTATAATATAAAATCTATAATAACAATATTTATAATCACTAATCATAATATCGAACACCACACAAGCACGCACTAAAATATCGTCTTTATTATTTAGTATAATATCTCACTCGATAATTGGTACTCGGTCTTGGGCGGCTTCCCGATCAATTGCTTTTGTTTTATTTCAACTGCGATCATGTAATGATAAAACTTTTGAAACAAATAAAACACCGTTTCAGACTAAAGTGACGTAGACGCGTTGCGTAAAACATATGAAGGAAAAAAAAATCGAAAACTCTCGGCGTTGCAGGTGGCCGGTCATCAGGTCAGAGATCACCGTAGGCCGATGGTATTTTATATGTGTAGCAGCAGCTTCGGTAAAAGTGATCGCATATTATCTTTGTGTGTATAATGTTATAAATTATAATATATTATATTGTATAATATGTATCTCTCCATGACGTCCGTGCACGCACACACTTTGTTATCAGTTCTATATAATATTATTATATTGGTATGGTATGATGGTTATGTTTTAAATTCATTTTTTTTTTCTTACCTCTCGATCGCCGTGGTTAGTTAGTCCCTATTGATTTCCTCGTTCGCCGCCACGTGTGGGTGTGGAGTTATATATA